CGTGCAACTATATTTCTGGAGGAAGGAGTGAGGCTGGGAGAATACTGTATTCAGTTCCTAGAATACTATGAAGTGCTCAGTAAGTAATAAACATAGCAATCATCTTGCAGCGGGGGGGTGGGGGGGGTGGTCCAAGGTAAACAATATTGGGCAAACAGTATGCAGGCCTCAGGACTCTGGATAAACTTTCCCCCCACATCCCTGTCAGGAGGCCTGGTCTTCATGACACAGGAGAAAGGTCTACCCCTCCGTGTGACAGGACATGGGTAAGGCCTTCCCTTATCTGACACTCTGCTTCCTGTAGTGCCATCCTAAAATGTCCTTGTCTGGCAGGTATTCATGAACATGGGCTACCAGAGGCCTTCTTTCTGCAGCAGAAACTGCAAGGGTAAGATGTAATAACTATGCTTTTGTTAGATGGCTCTTTCTAAATCTGAAAATTGACTACAGGCCTTTAGCAAATAAAGTGTGTTTGTGGATCACGAGCATGTCCGATTTCGCTGGAGGGAACAGGGCTCATCAATTTGGACCAGCAGTCCTAATCAAGTCCTCCTTAGGATCAGAGGTAGAAACCTCCACGTTTTCCAGATCTGGTGCCAACTTCCCACTGCAAATGCCTACCTGGTGTTCATCTTTATAGCTACATGATTCTAGGCCACTGATGGGAAAAAAATGTAAAAATTGAGTGAGCACAGGGGCGCACCTGAGTGGCTCAGCTGGTTAAACATCTCACTTTGGCTCAGGTCATGACTTCGAGGTTCATGGGTTTGAGCCCTGTGTCGAGCTCTATGCTGACAGCTCAGAGCCTGGAGCCTGCTTCAGATTCTGTGTCTCCCTCTCTCTGCCCCTCCCCCCCTTCTCACATTCTGTCTGTCTCTCAAAAATAAATAAACATTTAAAAATTTTTTTTAAAAATTTGAGTGAGCATGAAAACAAAGTTTCCACAAAAGATGTTGGCCTGATCTTTTCATTGCATGGAATATGTTGCAGGGACATGAAGACCTAGCCTGTAATAAATATTTGTAGAAAAAACTCAAATCCACTTCTATGGAAATAAATGGTCATATCCAGTGGTTATAAAAGCCTCTCATTTCACCTAAGCCTGAAAATCATGACCTGAAAGAAACAGGTGGCAGGGTTCTAGTTATTTAACACACAGACTGGGGTTCTTCCTTACACTGATTATCCCTTCTAATATTTTCTGAAGCTCTCTGTGAGTCTAAGAGTGAAAACACACCTCTCCATGCTATGCGAAATGAAGTTAGCCCACTATGGGGCAATGAACGGGCGCCTGGGTGGCTCAGGGGGTTAAGTGTCCGACTTTGGCTCAGATCATGATATCATGGCTCATGGGTTCGAGCTCTGTGCTGACAGCTCGGCCCTGGAGCCCGCCAGAGCCTGGAGCCTGCTTCAGATTCTGTCTTTCTCTGCCCCTCCCCTGCTCATGCCCTGTCACTCTCTCAAAAATAAATACACATTAAAAAAACACCAACAACCCTCAATGAAACACTTCTTTGGGCCCAGAGTCTTCCTAAAGCCAGATGGCCCCAATGCCAGCACTAGATGTTGGACAAATCCCGTATCACTTTCTGGAGAGAAAAAAAGTGTCTTTCTAGCTCTCTGGCAGTCTAGAAAGTTCCACATGATACAGTAGACTCTCCAGTTCATCGATGCAGCAGGTGATAGAAAATGAACTCAGTGCCATATTATATCAGAGGTCTCTATTTCCTGAGATAAGGAATTTTTTCTTTTTAAGTTTTTTTTAATGTTTATTTATTTTAGAGAGAGAGAGAGTGAGTGGGGGCAGAGAGAGAGGGAGACACAGAATCTGAAGTAAGCTCCAGGCTCTGAGCTGTCAGCACAGATCCCGATGTGGGCTCGAACTCACAGACTGCGAGATCATAACCTGAGCTGAAGTCGGATGCTTAACCCACTGAGCCACCCAGGCACCCTGATAAGGAATCTTTAATATAAAATTAAGTTCTTAAAACATTTGGGCTAAATGATTACAGAAAGTTGGTTTCCTTGAACACAGTTTTGGTTCCTGAGAAGAAAATCATAATAAGGTCTGAATGTTGCACAGAAGAAAGTTAAAAAGAAATTGCTTGGTGGAGATATGGTTGAGGCCTTGCTCCTGGGACAGGGCCAGAGGGCAGCCTGAGGAGAAAATCACCTATCATTCACATGTGAGTTTCTGTTGGACACTCTTTCTTGACTCCCCAGGCTGGACAGGGCCAGCCTCTCTCAGGACACTAAATACCTTAGGAATAACTCAGAAACAGTGTTAGGAAAAAAAAAAAAAAAAAGAGGTGTGTGTGTGTGTGTGTGTGTGTGTGTGTGTGTGTCTAGAGTTCTTTCTATGTCTGATTAGCCCATCTTTGATAAGAACCTCCTGGACCCATGAATTAGGGCCCAGGTGCGAGTTTTCTTTGCAGGGTAGAGCCCATCTGAATGCTGCCATCTCCCTTCTCCTGACCCCCAGGTTGTGGTAGGCGATTCTAGCCCACTGACCTTGAGTCACATGTCCGGCGGCTTGGTCTTCCAGGTTGGGGGTGTCTCCAATGCCTGCTTCTTCAGCTGGTTTATGTGTCAACAAATGAAGAAGATATAAGCAAAAACAGTTATTGTTTGCCAGAAACCAAGTTCTTTACATCTTCCAGTATTTTTCTGAAAACATTCAGGAAAGGCACATCTTATGAGTAAGTACCAAGGGGCTGAACCTCTGGCTTTTTGCAAATATTATTGCTGGGGATGTCTACAAAAGCAGGTTATTAAATGAACCCCACCGTACCCACACACTTTGCAGGTGACCATGATCCTGTAGGAAAGACCTTCTCCACAGTGGGCCCAGGGTCCCGAGTGCCCCACTCAACAAAGACACGCAGGGTGGGTGAGGTCAGAGAAGCAGTTTACTGCTCAACCATCACCACGGGAACCACCACCGAGCGGCAGGTGCACTCCCAGCCCCAGCCAGTGCTCTGGGGGCGCTCAGGGTGCAGGAAAGCACTAGGCGTGGGCTGTGGAGTCAGGCTGGGGTTCGCATCCAGCCACCGCCATTTACTTAACCTCTCGGAGCCTCTGTTTCCTCACCTAGACCCCCCAAGGTGATGAAAACGGCTTGTCTCGGAGGACGACGGTGAGGGTGAAAACGAGAATTTGAATGACTGTGTTCAGTGAGATGCCGGGCGTATGGGAAGTGCCCCACAGCTGTGCAGTTTCTTTTCTCCAAACTACTGGGCAAACCCCTGTAACCACCTGCCAGGAGTAATTGCCACCTGGTTAGGAGGAGGCCGGGAGTGAGCAGCGTCTAGGGTGTCTTGGGCTCACCCCAAATGAAGAAGATCACATCATCAACAGTGACAAAATCAGTAAGCTTTACCGCAATGCCAATTTCTGCGCCGTGAAAAATCAGGACATTGCTCCAGGACAACAGATACAATTGCGTAGAAGAGAGTTTATAAAGCAAGCTGGTGCACACATTGACGTGCACTTGCCTCATGATGCCAGAAGAACCAACATGCATGCCCTGATGGATGGAGACAGGGAAACCACCACCCCTAAGAAATGCCTACAAGTTGCTGGCTGGGCCACGAGTCTTTTCTCCCAGACCTGAGATGGTTACGATTTCACGCCTAAAACAGAAATGCCAAGTCACCAGCTCAGGCCTGCCGTGGAGGGCATGGAGGAGGGAAAAGAAAGATTCTCTGGGTCGCTGGACAGCTGCATGATGGCCTTATAAACACTGGCCCGCTGGCTGTCCCAAAACAGCGGCAGTGAGGGCCGTGAGGGGACTGGCAGTGGGCTCCCCAACCACCAGATCATAAACATGACCTTGCTCTCGGGCCCCCGCAAGCTGACACTGTGCCACCCACGAGGTCAAACAATGACAGCTTCAAGCACAGATTTTGTCTGAGTTTCTGACGAGGCTGTGGTAGAAAGGTTCAGAGTGACAGCAGGTCCAGCTAAGTGGCATAGAGTCCTGGAGACGGAGAACACGGGGAAGGGGGTGGGGGACACATGGGAATGACATCACTGCTGTGGCACTGGGAGGTCACTGCACTCACACGCGGGTGCAGAATTGCAATATCCTGGCCCCGGTGCGTGTCAGACACTGGAGGCTGCTGATAACCCTGACGCCCCCTCACTCCCCAGTTCCCAGCAAGGGAGGTGCTCAGAGAGGCCAAAGGGAGGAGGTAGGGTGTGTGGCCGTGGCTGGGCCATCACATCGCTACACGGGCTTTCCGCATCCCTGAAGCCCCAAGAGGCAGGGGCTCCCATCCCAGCAAGGCAGGGATTCCTGCTGTGGGGCGGCCATGCTGCATCCCCAGTAGGCCTCAAAGGAGAAGTTTCAAGAATGTAAGACACCTAACCAAGGATGAAACTAGGTTACACATCATCCAGGTCAACAGCTGAAAACCTCCCCCACCGAATCTAAATCCTCCCTATCTCGTTGAGGATGTAAAGTGTGGAGAGGGTGGCTTGGGAGCGTGGAGGACGGGCTGCATGGCCACCACCCACCTCAGCCCCAAAGGGAGGGTTTCAAGGCACCACTCGGAGACACTTGGTGTGTATCCCCTGTGGTTAGCGACACGGCGGACCGCTGTCAGAATCCCACCTGGGAAAACCAGAGGAGAGATGGGCTGGCCCCGCTTTGGGGGCGGAGCAAAGGGTGTGGCTGCAGCCCTGTGGTCAGTCTGCACACGCCAAGTTTGCTTGGGCAAAGCATGCCCTTGTGTTTCCCACAGACCCGATATGGACACAGGGAGGCAGCAGCGTGGAGGCGCCTTGGACCATGGCCGGTGGGCTGCCAATAGAAGCAAGCCAACTTCAGCAGAAGGCTGGAGGGGATCTTCAGATTCCAAGGGGCTGAAGAGAGCAAAGTGCCTGCTGGAATCAAGGGCAGAGGGAGGGACCTTTGGGGGATGACTGGGATGGAGGAGTCTGGAAGGATTCCAAACAGGTGCCCACAAAAGAAAGAGTCGACGTTAAACGCTGCAGAGAGGGTGAAGCCGCGCACAGTAGTGCTGATCCAGGACGAACTTTCCTGCCTCCCGTCCCCTCCACCTCCCCAGCCCCAAAGTGGGGGGCTGCAACCCTGAATGAGCTTGGGCTACTGGATGGGACCAGACATTCTAACCAGCAGTCTCAAACGGTGTTTTGCGACGAGACTAAAGTACTTTTGATCGCCTAGCAGTGATGAAAAAGTCAGAAGCGGGCTACAGTTTTCACCCTGGAGGGGAAGGGCTCTCCCACTGAGTAAACAATACAGGCACAGGGGTGGGGGTGGGGTACAAAAATCAGGTTATCCAAGAGCTCATCGTTGTTCAGCCTTCAAACGACCTTCACTGTCAAGGACGAGGGCCATCCAGCTTCAAGAATACGCCTCCATCCATCTCAAAAGACCAACTCACAAAGCAGAAACAGTTCTGACAAGTGGAGGGAGGGGGCGGTTGCCGCTGGACCTCTGCATGGGGGTTCTCAACAAATGGAGCCCCGACAAAAAGCTGCCGTTTCCCAAAAAGCTGCTGTGAGCACCGTCTTCAGGAAGGAAACAAGACTCCTGTCTGGGGACGTTTTCCCCATTCTCCAGTGCTGGTGACATCCTGTCTGGAACTCTTCTGCACATCTTCTTCAGTGCCCTCCCAATCCAGAAGCCAACAGCTGAGCATTTACATAAGCACAAAGAACATTACCAGAGGGGGACGGCGGCCAGAGCTCTGGGCTCAGCGAGCCGTTTCCTAAGGGTCCCAGGGGGCTGGAGGCCACCACCATTTCTGGTAGGTGCCCTGTCTGCGCGACCCCCATCATCTGTGCGACCCCCATCATCTGTGCTGACAGGACAGTCTCGTCACGCCTCTTTGATGCAGATACGTTGAAAAAGCTAGTTCTACAAATGGATGCTAGGTCACACTGCTGAGCTCCCTAGGGGCTATCCCATTAAGATCCTCCAAAGGCGTGGGTCAGTCATGAGACCTTGCCACACGCTTGGGTGCCCCAGGCGGTAAACTGTCTGTTAGGAGGTGACCCTGTCACTGGGCAGAGCCCCAGCAGGAAGGTGGACTGAGTCCAGGGGTGATCTGCCACCAGCCTGCCTCGGAGGACCCTGCAGAGAGCTTGGAGCTGATGTGCCGGTTGAGATGGAGGGAGAAGCTGGACGGAATCCAGAAGATCCTCCCTCCTCTGGGAGGCTGGCGGGCAGCCACGGAAGCCATCGGCCATCAAGGCACCAAGATTGGAATGACCCAAGATTCCCAGAAACCGGGAGTCCTCCCACGTTGCTGCCTCGCTGGGAGACAGCATAACCCCTATTCGCACCCACTCCCCCTTGCAGGGCAGCCGGGCACCCGGCCAGGGCCGCCTCCACCCAGCCACGTGAGTCACCCTCACCTGTGGTTCCTTCTGGGATCTCCGTGTGGGGCTGAGCGGCCGCCTGCTCGCCGGGAGCTCCCTCATCCACTAAGGGCGCTGTCGCGTCTGGAAACCGAGAGTCGCCTTAAGGAGGCTAGGAAAGCCAGGCCAAGCCCCTCACCTTACTTCTCGAGTGGGAGCAGGCAGGGGCGGGGAGGCAGGAGGGGACTCGGCGGCATGCAAAAAGCAACACCACAAAGCAACACCCAGAGCCGCGCCCCTGCCTGATGTTTCCCCAGGAAGCACATGAATATCTTGCTTGGTGGCACCACCTCATGAGATGCCCAGGCCATCTGCCGGGGACAGCCTCCGTGTGGATGCTGCAGCAGAAGAGACTGCCGGGGACGGGCCCAGGTGTTTTAAAGAGGAAATGTCTAAAATCAGATGGCCGTGAGGCTTTGAGCAAGACCTTTGCCCTTTGGGCCTCAGTTTCCTCATCTGCAAAATGGGAATATCATGGCCAGGTGACCTTCAAGTTCTCGTCCAGCTCTAAGCCCCCTGCCCTGTGAGTCCGTGACTCACGGTTAAAAGCACAGACTCCCCCAGGTGGCAATGAACAGGCTGGTCCCATCCAGAGCTGGGTGCTTGACAACAGGCTTAACAGATGGTCCACCTGCAGAGCAGAGGCCACAGTTAAAAACCCACCACCAGGAGCTGCTGTCAGCCTCTCATCAAGGTGAGCACCTTCCAATTCAGCAGTCCTCCCCAAGCAGTGCCCTGGCATACTCCCAGGCTGTTCCAGGCAGACATAAGGAGTTGTCAGCTTTGAAAGCTTTCCAAGAGTCCGAGTCAATTTAGTCAAATGGAATCCATTTTAATCACGGTCGTCTCGGGAGCAGGCGGAGCCGCCTGGCCAAGCCCAGCCCCAGCAGAGTCCCCTTCCTCGTGGGGAGGGAGTGGAAACTCTCGGGGCCCACACATGTACAGGATCCAGAGTGCAGCAAGACTTGGTTGGAAGATCCTTCCAGAATAATGTTGATGGGGCCACTGACAACCATGATTTGGGAGGCTGCTATGAAGTCTGGCATTAGTATTTGACGACCTCAGGGAGGTAGCAACTTGCAAAACTGTCCTAACCAGATCAGCGGGAAATGTCTTGCATCAGCAGCTCTAAGAAGAAGCACAAAGAGCCCTTGGCCTGGGTATTCTCTTCACTAGGCTGAGAACCTGGGGGGAGGGGGGGGCATGGGGGGGGGGGAGCAGGGCCACACCTACTTTCTCCCCCACAGATGGTCCCTTACACCAAGCAATTGGCAGGCACTTTCTCAATTCATTCAAAGGTGGACACTTGGGGAGATGCCGGGACACGTTCTCGTCTTGTGACAGCCTCCAAAGTCATGGGCAGAGCCAGGAGGAGGAGAGTACTGAGAAGAGAACCATGAACCTCCCTGGGGATGAATGGGGGGGGATGGAAGGGCAGATACCTCAGACTGGTTACTTAAGAGCCATTCTCAATGCCCTTATCCCTTGATTTCTCCTACTTATGAGTCTGGAAAGCAAAACGCTCCGTATTCCGGCCTCCCCCTTACAGCCAGGCGTGGCCATGAGACTCAGCTCTGGCCAATGAGACATAAGCGGAAGTCGGCTAGGCGGGGCTTGCAGGAAAACTGCTTTCCTAATAAAAAGGAAACACATTTGATTTCAGGGCCCCTTTAGCCAGGCTTTGCTACTTTCCTCTTGCTTGGAAGGCAGATGTGATGCTTGGAAGTGCAGCAGCCATCTTGTAACCACGAGGCAATAATCCAACCATTACAGATGGCAGAAGATAAAGACAGAAGAGCACTGATCACGCTGGAGACCTGCTGCCATCCAGACATGTTATTAAGTGAGACCAACAAACCTCTTCATATCTAGGCCCCAGCTAGTTTGGTTTTCCATTACCTAAAACCAAATGCAGTGTTGACTGACTCAGAAGGGAAGCAAGAAAAGGTGGTCAAAATCAGGACCAAGGAGCTCTTCAGGAAATACATGAGGAGCTTTATAATAACCTAGACACCAAACGTCTAGAGAGGACAGGTCAGAAGGCGTGCTGGAATGCACACCTCGGCCAAGGTCCAGAGCCCTGGACCATGCCGAGAGCCCAAGAAATGAAGGATACTAGACCAGATCAGTCCCAAAGTATGAGCTTGGAGATGTGCACCGACCCGCCCCCTTTCTCACCCAAATGGCTGCACTGGGACCTGGTGGCTCATGAGAGAAGAGGAAGGGGGGCGGGGGCTTCTGAAGGAGTGTGGGGTGGGGGGACAGCTGCCATGGAGCAGGGGCTTTGTGGAGCTCTGCTCGGGCCCCGCTCGGCCACAGACCCGGCCTCTCCAAACGCGGTTGCCTCAAAGCACACACACGATGAAGGGGCCCAAACACGGCACCGGAGAGCGAGGCACCTAAGCAGGGCTTGGCTCCCGTGACATTCCCGGGCCTGAGCCCATCCTGCAAAGCACCGAACAAGCATGGCCGTCAGCCAGCGGGAGAGGCAGCAGCGGACGCAGCTGGGAAGGGTGGCACGCGGGGCTCAAAGCACGGCTAAGCGCAGGCTGGAGGCACGGAGGCGCTGTCTCAGTGAGGCAAGGAGAGGAGGGCCCACCTTCTGCCGTCGGCGTGCTCTTAGCATCCGAGGTTTCAGAGCCCGGTTCCTCAGATCCATCATCAGCGGGGGTCTGCAGGGGAGACTCTGGAACATACACAATGAGCCCCTCAGAACGGCTGCCGCTCCCCACCCCTCCTTCCGACTGCAGGAGGAAATGGGGAGCAGTGTCCTTCGGAGCCGAAAACCACCCAGCGCGGGACCCAGATGGATGGGGCGTGGCCACGTGATAAAGTCACAAGGGGGACCAATCCCACCCCCATCCCGACACGACGGTGTCCCCACAGCAGGGTCATCAGGCCAAGATGCAGGTGCTCGTTCCCGGACAAGAGGCGAAACTGCCTTTTAACCAGCCCGCGGTTTCATCAGAGACTCGGCCTCATGCCGACAAAAGGGCAGCCGACACTACCAAGCCCGCTGCTGTGTCTTTCCTGACCGAGAGGCTCATGGGAGAGCGCAACCCTTCATCGGCGACAAGCAGAACGCCTGGAAACCCAGTCCGATCCAACTCCTTCCTCTGAAAAGGGCAGACGCAGTGCCTTCTAACTGGACGTCGGATCGTGTGTCTGGGCTTCACCCAGCTCGTTTCCTAGAAAGATCTCCAAGTACTGACCAGCAGGACTGGAGTCGCACCTGAAACGTCAGCCACAGTTACCTACGGAGACAACTGCCCTTTCAGAATCCGAAGCCAAGGAGGCTCTGGTGGAGCCCGGGAAAGCCACTCCACCTGGGGGTGAGGGCAGGGTCTGCGGGGCTGGCCTGTGTACAAAGCAGAACCCCAAGACGACAAAGGGCAAGCGGTGTTCCACTGCACTGAGAGATCCGACACCCGCTGCTAAAATGCCGCCAGTGGATACCCAGCCCTGGGGGCGACCGTCCGGCCAAAGAAGGACCGATTCTAAACAGATTTCCAGCACACCCACAGCTCCCTGGTCCTGGGGCTTACACAAACCTGCAAACTGCCTCCAGAAGGCTTTGGACAAATGGCGAGAAAGCATCTGCAGACTGTGTGCTGGGTCTTGTTATTACTAACCAGGCTTGACTGTCAGAGCACAAGAGCATATGGAGAGCGCCCCAAGCATGCTTGTCCCCCAAGCAGCCCCTCCCCCACTCTGTCCTGGAGCCTGCCATCCTTATCATTAGAATTAGCCTTATTAAATTTCTTGGAGGGACAGAAAGGAGGAGGAAGAAGCCTTTTCCGAACGTCTTAGCTGGAAGATCTAACAAGTTAACCCTTAAACACCTTTTAATTCCTTAGGGTGCACTCCTCTATCAGTTAACCACCTGTCACCTCACCCACCTGGAGGCTCTTGGCTGTATCCAGTCCTTGTCCAACTTTGAGCCTCCACACAGATACTCTTTGTTCTAGTATTTTATACGTGGTTTCTTGTCATGATTCCAAATAGTCTGTCACTTATCTAAAATGTTGCTAGTAAAGTGACACAGCTTCTGCCAAGTTATACCGCTCACGCCCCATATAGAAATCACTCCTAAATCCTTAGAAGCAAGAACAAATTTGATGGGAGTGATGGAAATCTCTTAAGTATCACTTGCTTTCTTGGGAAGTATACTCTTTAGGTAAGCAAACTATCTACAAATGTTTCCCTTTCACAGCAGTGACAAAAAGGCTAGCAACTTAAAATCTGCACACACACACACACATACACACACACACACACACATCATATATCATATATTTGTTTTAGCACAGAACTTCCGATCGTGTTTTATGTTAAAGAATTGAGCAGTTTTAGCAAACATACCTTAGACAACTCTGAGACACAAAATAACTTGTAAACTCGTTCTAACTTTACAAATTGAATTTCATTTCTCCCCCCAAAAATATGAATGGTAAAAAACACTTTTTTTCCCTTTTTTTTTAACGAACTTTTTACTTAAGAACAGTTTTAGATTTATAGAAAAAAAATTACAAAGCTACTACAGAGAATATACCCTACACCAAGTTTCCCCAGTTATTAACATCCTATACTATTAGGTATATTTGTTGCAACGCTGTATGTATTTTAAATTTAATTTTTAATACCAGCCTACCCTAAACAGAATGTCACTGGCATAATTCACACCAGGCAGAATTCTAAGTTGGATTCCACCCATGAGGGTTTAATAACGGAAGTTCCAAGGGGACCTTGCTGAGTGACAAGGGGCAAAACAGATGACAAGGAGCTGAAGACGTCCCTCTGATGGGGCAGCACCGCATATCAGCCCTTGACCTCAGAGAGGAAACTCCGCTTGTCATCTGTCAACCGGGGAAAGTGACATCTGCCCTCAGCAGTTGTTGTGAGCATCGCCTGAGACGCTGGTGGTGAAGGCCTTTGCAATCCTAGAGTTCTAGAAAAATGCCCCAATTACCATTTTAAGGAAGTTCCCTTATAAGCAGGGTGGCCATAAACTTTATCACCCAAATTGGGACACTTGACTGTGGAAGCGGCAATGGTCCTCATGACACAGAACAGAGACTTGCACGTGGATGTGTGGGCTCAGGTCCTCAGAAGAAGGAGCTCTCAGGGCCCCAATGAGGGGGGGTCAAGGGGTCAGGGGATCAGGGGATCAGGGGATCAGGGAACAAGGCAAATTCTGGCTCCCAACCGAAGCTGCCTCAGCCAGGTAGGGCTGCAGGGAGAAAGCGGCGTGCCACTAACCTTTGGGATTGAGGTCCTGGGGGCCAGTACCCTTCATTCCACATGGCTGGGGTCGGGGTGGGGAGAGAAAATGGGAAGGGGCTGTAGAGCCACGGGGGTGGAGGGGGACAGCAGGGGAAAGAAAATCAAGGCAAGAAGGGAAAGAGGGAAGGAGGAAAAGGAGACCGTGGGAGAGGAGGAGACGGGGTGCGGGGGTGGGGGGAACGGAGTGGGGGACAAAGGGAGGAAGGGCACCCAGCAGGACTCAAAGGAGAAAGCAGATTCCCTCACTGCCCTCCATGGGAGCTGCACCTTAGCAGCTCTGGCTGGAGCCAGGCTATGGCCTGGGAGAGGTAAGGACGTACATTTCTCACCACCATTTGGAGCCTGACACCCAGAGGGCAGATCTGGCCCCCTGGGACACTTGGCTGGTGTGGGTATTTCCCCCCACTCCCCTCCCCCAGCACCTGGGGCTGGGAGGCCCCAAGAAGGCCAGAGGGCAGCCTCTGAGCTCCCCAGGACAGTATATCCACTCTTCCTCTACCAGCCAGGAGCCCACCTGTCTGATTCCCAGGTTCCTCTGACTCCTACGCTCTCTGCTTCAACGGAGAGACAGAAGTCGCCTTTGAAACCAGGCCCCACAATGAGTCCTGCGAGCAGGGACTATCATTCCTCGTGCTTCCCCAACCCAGGGGTCCTCCTGGTGACCCTACCTCCTGCAGGGAACCTTCCCAGACAGATGCACCCAGAAGAGCACCCTTCCCACTTTGGAGCCCCACCGCCTCCAGCCACTGCTCCACACCTCAGGGTGCAAAGTATTTTTATTATTTTTAGCACTGAAAGAGAATAGCAGGCTGTTTGCTATTTTGTCTCCTCAGTAACGGGTCTGGAGGGCAGGAATGGAGGTCTTCTTACACTGGGTATCACTTGGCAAAATGACAGAGAGGACAGCATGAGAAGCAGGAGAGAGGGCTTGGTGCCCTCCACGGGACTCCCCAAACTCCGTGGACATGAAACACAGGTGTTTGGTGGGGGAGAGGAGGAGGTCGAGAAAACTTGGCCCAAAGACTGTATTATAGAATATCCAGGGGTTTAGGGGCGCCCGGGTGGCTCAGTCGGTTAAGGGCCCGTCTCAGGTCACGATCTCACAGTTCATCAGTTCAAGCCCTGTGTCGGGCTCTGCGCTGACAGCAAGGAGCCTGTGTGGCATTCTCTCCCTCTCCCTCTCTCTTTATGCCCCTCCCCCACTCGTGCACTCTTGCGCTCTCTCTCTCTCTGAAAATAAATAACTAAACTTAAAAATAAAAAAAGAATATTTAGAGGTTTAGAGGATCCAGTTTGTTAGTATAGGCACAGCAGGAATCTCAGCGCTGACCTTGCTGAAAGAGGGCCCAGACAGGCTCTTAAGGAGGAGATAAAAATAAGATGCAAAGCCCAGTATTTTTCATGTTCATGAATGCTGCTGATCTAAAGGTGAATAGATTGGGCTAAAGACTCAAGAGAGCACCGGGTATTAATCAGACTGACAGGCCCCTTGCAATCTTTGTCATGCCACTGTCCACACACGTGTCAGACTCTTCTTTGGAAGGGTACGTTTTCAAACGGCCTCACATTTTGAGTTATCTTGGCCCTTTCAAATTATGAGGCTTCACTCTACTGACACAATCAAGTATTTAAAATTCCTTTCAAGAGCTTGTTGTTTCGGGCCAGCCCCTTCCTGAGCAAGCAGGTTGGCGGCCGCCCACCCACGCCAACCCCGCCCCGCCCCCCAGGCACCTGTTGCGCATGCGTGGCTGCGCACTCACCTTTCAAGCCCTGGTCCACGTCACCCTCGTGGTCTTGCATTAGGGTGTAGCTCCCCTGAGAGGGGAGGTCTTTCCTCTCCCCCGTCCCGTACGTCCCAGCATGATCATCCATCACGGTGAAGTCCTGGCGGGGTTCAGCCATCCTGGGTCAAGGCCCACCTGGGGAAGGGAGATGGGAGGATGAGGACGGGCTAGCTGGGCTGAGGGGCCGAAGCGCTAGGGGGATGGGGGTGGGGGCGGGGAGAGAGGGCCCACCTCCCGGGGGCAGACAGATCCCCGCCCCCATCCCCTCCCCGAGGGATGCTCAACCTCATCCGCCTTGCCCGTTATGCGTATGTGCACTTTTAATTCACCTGCATCACATCACTTCATAACTCAGAACCACCAGGTGGGCAGGTTCCCGGGCCTGGCTCGTGATGCCCAGCACTCTTTCCACTTCATTAAAATACAAATGCTGCCCACCAGTAGCTTGCTTACTTATTTATTTTTCTTCCCATTAAAATGTAAGGCCCATCAGGAGAGGGGCGCCATCAGCAAGTGAGGAAAATGACGCACAGAGACGCAATGGGATCATTCCATCACGAGGCAACAGCGAGGCAAACCGACTCTTGACCCTTGTCCAGCCTGCCCCCCCGGAGGTCAGGGCTGGGCCTCCACTCACCTCAGGGTCCCCCACCAGACCTCTCGGGTGTGCGTTCTTGGGGGTCGGGCTTAGAAATCCCTAACAGCACCATGCACACACATGCACACATCGCCCCCTAGAGCCCCAGCAGGAGACAGTACTTCACGTCCACAGAACGCACTAGAAAGTCATTTGCTCATACTCTGTTCTCATCTTTATTGAGAATATTTAGTGCTTTATTTTAAAAGTAATTCATAACTGTGAATTCTAGATTTTTGAGTATGCCATTTTGTTCTGGTTCATCCATCCTACTTCGGCTTATTCCATTTTTTTTCATCTTTATCTCTGTAATTTGAGTCTCCTCTTTTTGTTATCTTCCTTTTAAACATTTTATTTTTAGGTGATCTCTACGCTTAACATGGGGCTTGAATTCATGACTCCGAGATCAAGAGTCACATGCTCTAGTGACTGAGCCAGCCAGGTGCCCCGATATTGTTCTTTTAAATTACTTATGCTATTATTATTTTTTTTAATGTTATTTATTTTGAGAGAGAGAGAGAGAGTGCACAGCCCAAACTCACCAACCATGAGATCATGACCTGAGCCGAAGTCAGACTCTTAACCACTGAGCCACCCAGGTGCCCCCAAAATGAATTCTTTTTTTTTTTTTTTTTTTAAAGAATGAGCTTAGCAGGACCTCTATCCTAATGGTCTGTTTCCCTTAGCCCCCAAACATCAGAACCCCTCTTCTAAGAGGGACTAGTTCCATTATCTGAGGAAACTACTGCTCCCCACTCAGCTCTAGGAAATAGCATCTTCCTCCCTGGTGGAGCCTCTCGGAGCGTCCCCGGTCACCGCCCAATGGCTCATCCCCAAGACTGGTCCATGAGTCACTCCATCTGGCTGAGTCACCAGATGCCTCACCCTGGAGCGGTGGGATCGCCCCAGAAGCTCAAGGCCTCCCAGACTGGCTAGAGACACTGGCCCAGGTGAGCCAGGCCAGCCAGCTCAGGGCACCTTGTTCAACCTGCAGCTAAAGATTTAGGGAAGGCTGAGAAGTTGAGCTTCATGGTTTTGCTCTTTAGGTTTGATCAATTCCTTTCAATGACCAAGCTTCCCCTCCTGAAACATGGTGGATGGAGGTATACAAGTAAAACTCTGATGTATTGGTTTCCTCTTTTTTTCTTTTTTTTAATATTTATTTATTATTGAGAGACAGAGAGACACAGAGCGTGAGCAGGGGAGGGGCAGAGAGAGGGGGAGACACAGAATCCGAAGCAGGCTCCAGGCTCTGAGCTGTCAGCACAGAGCCTGACGCGAGGCTCAAACTCACAAGCCGTGAGATCGTGACCTGAGCCGAAGTCGGATACAACCAACTGAGCCTCCCAAGTGCCCCTGTTTGACCTTCTTGCATGTTTTCTCTGCCAGGTGTCCTTTAGAACATTTTTTCTCAAATTCTCAAAATTCCATTGGGATTTTGGGCTTATATTTTGTGCCAAAATGATAACAATTGCTCTCTTCAGAATATTTAGCGTTCCTACCCAAAAGCATAGTGTGTGTCTTCCCAATTATTCCGGTTCCCAAATCTCTCTGGGTGGAGGTAGGGGGGTGTCATTTGCATTTTTCTGGTGCTGAGCTCACTCTCGACGTCTTGCTGTCCTTTGTGCTGCCTTTGTGAACAGGACCCTTGCCCTCATCGTGCTGATGACTCATGAAGGCCTCTGGGTTTCCTCAGTGGAGGTGACCAGGCCACCGTTCCAATGCTGGAACTGGCCCCGAAGTGATGGGTTCCCCTCGACGTCTCCAGGGGAATAAACGGGAGAAGCATTTTCTGGGCCTCGATCAGACAGATGTGATCTCTTAGCAGAAAATCTCTCATCAATGAGCTTGTGAAAAGAAGCTGGAAGGATTCAGCAGGGTTTGCAGGAGAAGAATGCAAGGGTGAGGGAGGGCATTCTACTCTTTTCCCTACTCTTGAGGTCAGTTTGCCCCCAATTCAGTGGCTGCTCATATTTTAATGTTTATTGTTTATTTATTTTTGAGAGAGAGCGTGGGGGAGGGGCAGAGAGAGAGGGAGACAGAGGATCTGAAGCAGGCTTTGCACTGACAGCAGAGAGCCCCATGCGGGGCTCAAACCCACGAACCGTCAGATAGTGAGCCATCATCAAGCTGAAGCCGGACACTCAACCGACTGAGCCACCCAGGTGCTCCTGTTGCTGATATTTTAAAATCACAGGTTTTAGAGAAAGCGGTTCTTTCAAAGGAGCCTGGGAGGCGTGAGACACCAGGGACCCATACGCACTACAGCTCGCCACATTCAGCTCCCGGCTAAGTCGAGAAGTCCCAAAGCCCACCTTCCACTTATGCCCTGCACAGACGGGCTCGCTGACTAAAGTTCTCTTCTTCCAATAAATATGCAACACCACACATCCTGTGCCTCTAAGAGTAAGCTGCGACAGCAGACGGAAAACACAAAAATCAGCACAACCCCCGAGGTGGGTACACAGCCCAGACGAGACATGGTCACCACCCCACGGATCCCTGTAATCTAAGAGGGACACACAGACAGGAAAATAAACACACTGGGAGCTGTTTTCTTAAGGCTGCACTCTGCTTTCTTATTCTTCTAAATCAACCAATTCCCACCACCCCACCACCCCTCAGCTCTTCATTTACCTCTTGTTTTCCCCGGCACTGACTTAAGGGCAGTGGGGTGGGAGGTAGGGAAGAAATTGTAGGAAAGGCACAAAAGTTGAGTTAAGCCTGGAAACTAAAAAGGGCCACTTTTTTTTTTTTAAGTTGATTTATTTTGAGAGAGAGAGGAGCGAGCAAGAGAAGGAGAAAGAGAACTCCCAGAATCCCTGAATCCAATCAGGGCTGTGGTTACTCAGTCTTTTTTTCCTTTTTTCTTTTGATTGAGGAGAAAGTCACGCAACCGAAAATTAACGATTATATATATATATATATTTTAATTTTTTTTAATGTTTATTTTTAACAGAGAGAGAAACAGAATGCAAGCGGGGGAGGGACAGAGAGAGAGACACACACACACACACACACACACACACACACACAGAATCCAAAGCAGGCTCCAGGCTCCAGGCTCTGAGCTGTCAGCACAGAGTCTCGTGACGCGAGGGCTTTGAGCTCACTTAAATTACAAGATCATGACCTGAGCCGAAGTCAGATGCTGAACCGACTGAGCCACCCAGGCACCCCCAAAATTAACCATTTTAAAGTGAACAATCCAGTGGCATTTAGTACATTCACAGTGTTGTGCAACCATCATCTCTTACTAGCTTGGGAACATTTTCATCACCCCAAAAAGAAACCCTGTGCCCATGAAGTGGTTTCTCTTGAACCCCCTACCCCCACCCCCTGCCAGGCACCAATCTGCTTTCTGTCTCCATGGATTACCCTTGTTGGATATTCCAGATAACTGAAATCATTTAATATGTGGCCTTTTTGTGACAGGTTTCTTCCACTTAGCCTAATGTTTTCAGGACTCCTTCATGTTGTGGCTCGCGCTGGGGCTTCATTCCTTAATAAGATTCCGTTGTACGGACATAACACATTGTGTTTACCCATTTATCCTTTGATGGATACTTGCAGTCTTTTAATAAATTACAAGTTCGGAAACAAGCTAACATGGAATTTTTATTGTGACTTTTATCGGATAATGGTGAAATTGGGGTGGAGGGAGGAAAAAGGTGTGGGCAGGAAGGGGGGATGGTAGAAGAAAGAGAAGGGCAGGGCCCCCCAGGAAATCTTCAACTTCTTCCTCATTTCACCAAGGCTGGGCCCCCATGGGGCACAGGGATGTGTAGGTGAGACCCCGGGTCCCTTTTGCTCCCAAAGAATAGGGTCTCCGCAGGCCGCAAGACGGAGCAAATTTTCTGCCCGGCAGAATTCACGTCTTCTATGCAGCTTACCTGAAGAGGTACCTTTGTTTTCTGAGCCTCCTAGGCTGCCCTTTGAGGTGTCCGGTGGTGGATGAGGGAACCCCAGGCACCTAGTCCAGATGAAAGGTGACGTCTGAAACACCGCCAGGGGGCCCTGCTCACTATTTGGAGCTCATCTGCTGTTTTCCTGGACATTTCTCCATGACGACATTGAGGCTCGCTACAAACCTGAGAGGTGGGCAGGACCCAAATCCGAGACAGGTAAAGGGCCCCCAGAGACTAAATGACTTGCCCAAGACCACTGAGGCAGCCTGGGACCTTACTTAGATTTGAATACCGCTCCCTCAGCCCTGCTGCCCTCTGGGACGTGGACTCCTGGCAGTTCTGATGCCTCCTTCCGCTCCCCACCCAGGTCTTTCCTCCTGTACGGTTCCCCCGGGGGTCTGTAGGTTTCTTCTGACCTAGGGTAGTCTTCACCCGATGTAGAGGAAGACGAAATGGCCTTCCTGTGCCTACTGCCATCCTTCCTATTCTTCCTCATTTTCTTACCCACAGCAATGCAGTTTGGTCATCAGCAACTCAGGTTCTAGAAAGCTCCTTGGATAAGCCAGGGCCACA